GGACTTACCAAGAGCTTGAATTTGTCGCCGGCCATTATCCTCAATAAACTTGCTCAGCACAACCTCAACTGGATCTCCACAAGTATAACCAACAAGCTCCAGAGTGAAATTTCCCAGCATTGAAATATTTGTAGAGGTAGTGGAAGCACCAACATTCATCTAAAAAGCGGTGCCAAACAAGTTCGGGCCTTGTTTAATGGACGATAATACCCCTCCTTTGCAACAATTAGCAACTTGCTTATTGTAAGAAGCTCCAGGCATAAGGTCAATAATAACTGGTTTCTTTTCACAACAATGAGGAAGTTGCTTTCCCTTGAAAGCAGAACAATTGCCTTGTTCAGTAGTTTCAGCACCTCACATATTCCAAATTACCTCATCGCCCTGCCATGTCCAACTTAGCCTCCAACCCGGTGGCTCGATATGTCGGTACATTTGGTAATTGAAAATGACTACTCTCACCTGCAAATATTGTATAGATTTTTAATTGAGCTTTGAGCCTGGTGGTGAGCTAAAAATAGAATGAATTTGGGTATATATGTTAAGGCCAACTAGCTTTTTTTGATGCGCTCGGTTCATGCCAATTCTGAGGACCAAAACCTTGGACCCAAATAAAAAAATTATTTCAAAAGGTACATTACAAATAGAATAGATGATATAAATTTAAATTTAATGTAGGGATTGTAATAAAGTCTCTTGGATTCTAGGAATAAGGTTTTCAAAATATATTTGTTATTAAATATTATCTAAATATTTTGTAAAATCACTTCACTTTCTATATATATAAATTTTCATGCGTCATTGTGGATCTTATTATTATTTTTAAAATGTAATCAAACTTGAATTACTTGAAAAAAAAAAAAAAAAATGAATACGGGTGCATCACATACATATAAATTATAACAAACAATAACTTACATCTTGTGTATCTTCATTCATTTGCATAACATCCCATTTGATAGTGATGTTTCCATTAGGATCCAATGGATCATACCCATCTGCATTTCCCACAATCAAATGCAAAAAGTCTCAAAGATTTTATAAGAAAATGCAAATTTAAATCTATGATGTCTCAAACAATTCTAATTTGCTCCAACAAAAACTAAAGTATTTGAAGAATACTCACAAGTTAGTGAAAGAGAACCGATGAGAGAGAAGGAAAACACAGTCAATACCAAGCAGATTGGCCTTTGATCCATAAACAAAAATGGGTATTGGGCCTAAATTATTTAGTGGGCTCAGATTAGCCCCTCTTACACCCTGAGATATGATCTTTTCTTTGTTGCTGTTTCTCTTTGTAATTAACTTGTGGAATTTAATCTGTTGCTCTCTCCTTTTCGTAATTGGCATTTCTTCAGTGTTCATCTCATTTTGATGCACTGGTTTTCTGAATATGTAGTGTGCTACATGTAATTGATACGAGTTTCGGATTTTATATTAGCATGCCTAAGGCCTTGTTTCACTTGGGTTCTGAATGAAACAACTCTGCATTTTGAGCTATGGTTGTGAATATGTTTTTTCATTTAATCCTACGTTGGATTTTACATTTTGTGCTATGATCTTGAAAATGAATCTATCCTCAAGTAGTTTGCTGGTTGAGATTTTGGCCCTGTTTGGTAGAGTTTTTTTTTTTTTTTTTAAAGCTAAAATCTGATAATCAGAAAGCTGAAGCTAAAAGCATTTCTTCCCCAACTTTTTAAATAATCAGCTTTTTCCAGCTTATTTAAGTTATTTCTGTCTAATAAGACGTAAGCATAAGCTGCACTAAACTGTCCAACACAAGACTCCCAAATTAAAATAAGTTATAATCACCTCTTAGAATCTATACCAAATAGAGTCCTGATTCTAATAGTTATATACATATATATAATTGTAGTTACTTTTTGTGCATTGATATTCAGACTCCAATCCTTGTCATCTTTAGAGTTCTTTTGCTTGTTTTCTCGTTTAAAGAATGAGTTTTGTAGACTTTGAAAAAAGTGAATGTTTATATCTTTAATGATAACATTAGAGATCTCCAGTGGTATATAACATGAACAAAAGGGAGGGGCAGGGGGAGTGAGAAAGGTGGAATATATATGTCTGTATTTCAACTGTAAGGCCTTAAATTTTTTTTCCTGAGAAGTTTGTTTCTGAGGGGGGGAAAGCTAAAAATAAATAAATAAATTCTATATTATGCCGTCCAGTTAGGCTTAGTTTGGGAAGACTAAATAAGTGTACTTTTTAACTTTTTATAAAATATGGGTTGGGTTTGGGTTGGGTTTGAAGTGATGTGTTAGAGAGGCGATGTGACTTAAATAAGATGATGTGACTTAAATAGGATAGTGACTTTTTGACTTTTTGTCTTTTTTCAATCATGCCAAACTTGGCCTTAATTAGATTCCCTACAATATGATATTTGATCTAGCAATTTAAATCAAATCTTAAGATATATGAAGTACTGACACTTCAAAACACGTGCCATAGGGGTGTCGGACACAAGGACAAGGCGGCAGTGTCAATTGACCACATCAAACACTTCTTAAAATATTTTTAAAAAATGAAATATTATTATCCATTGTCATAAAAGAAAATAGTTTGATCTAAAGTTGACCCCATGCTTAAAAGATTGAACCCACTCTACTAGTAAACTTAACAACTTTATATTTATATTATTGATATGATATACACTCCAACAATGAGTTTTTAGAACTAAAGAGAATTGGAGATTTTAGTACAAAGTTGGGGAGATGGAGATATATGTTGCGTATTGATTGTGTTGTTTGCAACAAAAACTGAAACACTAAATTATATCCTAATTCAGTAAAATAATGGCAAGTTCAGGTATCGATTCTCAGGGACTGAAAGGCTGAGTTACTTTAAATGTAAAAATTTGTTCTTAAATTAATTCTAAAGATATGGAGATTTAATATAATAAAATATGAAAACTAATTAAAAGCAAAAGTTAAATTCAGTATGAAAAGACTTGGGGATTTGAATTCACCACTAACTGCATAACAATAATCATTGTATCAATTCGGGAATTGATTGCTTAATACTATAGTGATCTGTTATGGCTACAAGCCCTAACGTTGTCTTCAAGAGAATTCATGGATTTAAGAATCATGCATAACTTATCTTCAATTAGTATGAAATGTTTACACTAAACGAGGGTTGCAAGGCGTCTCGTCTTCTACAGGCAATAGTTATCTTAACTCTCAAATACATGCAAAAAGATTACCACGGTGTACCCATGTATTTAAAATCACATAAATTAAATATATCAAAAAAGATTGGAAGAGTGAATTCAATTGAATAGAAAATTGTCTCAAAATTACACAATCATTGTATTAATAATGAATTCCAAAGTAAAATACAACAAACCAAAGTTACTTGGCTAAGGTTTCATCTACACCCTAAGCAATAAGATTAGTTGCCCATGGAGAAGGTGAAGAACGCCATGGATGTGGAGAACTCTGTCCTTGGAACCTTGGGTTTCCTTCCTCTTGCCTCTTGTGCCATCTTTCAGTGATTGAAGATCCCTTTTCTTGAAGGCTAAGTTATCCTTTTATAGTTTCATACCTATCAGGGTTCGAATGGGCTCAAAACGAGCATAAAAACTTAAAATTTTGAACTTTTTAGCACGTTGTGCACTCGGGCTCACTCGGACAATAGCTTCACTGCTATGTGCTCGGGCTCACCATGAACTGCGCTCAGGCACACCTCAACATTCAGCACTCTCCTTCTTGCTTTGTTTGGTCCCATCTCGCGGACCTTCAATCTTCTCATTTAAGCTCACTTTCTTTGCAAGGACTTGAATAACCTGCACAACACACCGATCCATTATTACGGACTTAACAAGTGTAGTTTAGGGAGCCTGAATGTATACATTTCGGTACCTATCATATATCCATTGGTCTACTTGGTTGTGAAATTAACATTGGTTTTTCTAGGTCACATTGAAAACAATAGAAAGATCTTTTTTAACAATAAAATTTATAGAGTCGATTTCGTAATTGAATAAAAAATTAGTGAATGAATGATTATTTATTTGGTGATATACATTGCAAAAGATATATTTTATTATATTGGTAATGAGATTATTACACATTGATTCTAAAATATAGGACTTTGTTGTGAACAATTGTAGAAGTACATAATTTGTGTTTTTTGGTGAAAAACAAAGCATCAATGTATTATTATTATTATTATTATTTTTCAAATTTTTTTTTTAAATAATTTTTGTGAGGTGAGAATTTGAGTTTAAGTTTTAACTTGATCCCATCAACAAAAATTTCTGGAGCCACCACTGTGGAGCACAAGAGAATAAAGATATCAAATAAACCAATATAACAAATAAAGTATACATAATAGGTCCCAATGAGGTGAGTAGGTGACTATGGGTGTAGTATGAGAGATTTTTTCATGATCTATTTAAAAACTGCATTGAAATTGTCAAGTTATTCCTGTTCAACTTTATGTGTATGCAGTAGGTTTGAATTTTGGTATAGAGTTGTTTATTGCAATGCTACCTAAGAATTGCATTTATTGAAGACGCGATATATGTCAACGGTTTTGAAGAATTAATGTTGATATTATGTCATTAATGATGATGATGATATTAGCTTGAACTTGTCTCTTTTACACATTCTTAGATGCTTTGTGAGCAATATTTTTTTGAATAATAGTTTTAAGGTTTTTAAGTAATAGTATGATCTTTTGTGGCCTGGGTTTTCGTAACCTTCATTCTAGAAATTTTGACGTCATGATTAGTGGTTTGTAGACCTATTTGGTACATATAATAAGCATTAATATGTTTAAACAACGTAACAGTTATGATTATTGCTTCAGTTTCTCGGTGAAGGAATGGGTTGCCAAACACCCATGAGCAGTGAGCGTTTAAGAGCATATTGGACTCCAGCAATGGAACGCTACTTTATTGATCTTATGTTAGATTCGTAACCTTCATTCTAGAAATTTTGACGTCATGATTAGTGGTTTGTAGACCTATTTTGTACATATAAGAAGCATTATATGTTTAAACAAAGTAACAGTTATGATTATTGCTTCAGTTTCTTGGTGAAGGAATGGGTTGCCAAACACCCATGAGCAGTGAGCGTTTAAGAGCATATTGGACTCCAGCAATGGAACGCTACTTTATTGATCTTATGTTAGATCATATGCATAGGGGTAACAGAGTTGGACATACTTTCAACAAACAAGCATGGGCTGATATGCTTAGCATGTTCAGTGCAAAATTTGGACCTCAGCATGATAAAGATATTTTGAAGAATCGTTACAGTACTTTGTGGAAACAATTTAATGATGTCAAGAATCTTCTTGACCAGAGTGGGTTTTCGTGGGATGATACTCAGCAAATGGTAGTAGCTGAGGATTATGTTTGGGATACTATACTAAGGTACATTTTCTCTTTGTTTTAATTTATCTGCCCTTGCTGGCTAGTAATATAACTTGATTGGATGCAGGCCCATTCAGATGCACAATATTACAGGAATAAACCTCTTATGAACTTCAGTGATTTGTGCTTGATATATGCGTATGCAACTGCAGATGGAAGATACAGTCGTTCAAGTCATGATATAGACTTTGATGATGAAATCCAAGGACTAAATATTGGTTTGTTTCTATTCCTATCATGGGCATGATATAGGGTTTCAATTGTGAATGAATTGCCATTGTCAATTGAAATGCATTTTATTGGTTTAGTTTGTCAGTTCATTAGGTTTGACAACCCCAACTGTGATAATGTTTCATTTTATTGTTTATTTAATCAATTTTGTTTGTCAATTCATTAGGTTTGACAACCCAACCGTGATAATGTTTCATTTTATTGTTTTTTTAATCAATTTTTATTGTTATTAATGACCATATTAACTATTTATGACCTGATCACAAATTGACAGAATTCAATTCCCTATCAAGTTCTTAAAATTTTGGACAAATATGAAACCACATTATGTCCACAATTTAGGACTCACAACGTTATGCAGAATATGTAGTCAATTATGAAAGAAGACAATCTCGAAGATGACATCTTAGAAGCTATTGTTGATGTGGTATCTGTCACCAAGTTAACATTAGTTTAAATCTAGGATGATAATGTGGTACCCTGTAGTTGCTTTAATAACTGGCAAGACTGAGGTCTGTCACATGATGTAGCAATAGCTTTGAATGAACTGTGAACTTTTGTACGGTGATCGTCTGCTTTGTTATGTTTGATATAATGATATTCTATGGCTTTACCATAAATGTGTCCACCGTTCTAGTTGACTTAAATTTTATATTCTGGAGAAATTAGTCATGCTAGATTTTTATTTTATTTTATTTTGATAAATACGATTCTATAATAAGAAAGAGTGCCTTGGAGGGGGCTAACATTCTACCCTCACATAGCTACATACATCAACTAGCTAAGCAAAAACATAGTTAAAGCTATACATCCATTGGGATATATAAGTCACCTATGAACTACACAAAAGACAAAATCGAGAAATGGTTGTCTCATCCAAAATAATAGAGAAAGGAACACAGATCCCATCAAGGTATGAATAGGAAGTTCGGTGTCCTCAAAAGATCTTCTATTTTGTTCCCTCTAGATAGTTCATAACATACATGACACAATAGTCTGCTAATCTGTTTTCTCTAACCTCTTGGGATAGTAAGAATTCCAACTAGCAAGAACATCCACGACTGAACGTGGTTGTCACCCAAATAGCCCTAAAAATCAAGCTAAGCTAATCAGGCTCTATAATTCATTCTCCCGAGGCCTACAGGACAATGAAGAAGGAGATGGTCGATACTTTTCCTTTCATTCTTGAACATACATGACCAATCAACCATCACTTTTGAGTCTCTATCTAAGGTTGTCAATGGTTAAAATACCCTCACGAGCAGTTGACGACGGAGGTTTTCGTAGTTATTCGAATAAATGTGTACTACAAGTAGAACTATGAAATCAGTTGCAAAGTTAATATCTTCATTTAAAATGTTAGTCTAAATGAATTTCTTCTTGGTACAATATATATGTATATATACAGGCAAAATCCACTTTACACCCCTATGGTTTGGTAGCACCTTATCCCCTTTATTTTTTAAAAAAGCCATATCCCCCCTATGTGATTTTAGACTAAAGTGCTACCGTTAGATTTTCTGTCCAAATAGACAGAAATTGAGATACATGGCTGTGTAGAGGGGAAATTTTTTTAGTCGAAGATAAATTTCAATACATAAAGACTAAATTACCCTTCTCTTCATCTTCTTTTTTTTTTTTTTTTGATAAGTCTTCTCTTCATCTTCTTTCTGTACCTTCAAACCCTATCCAAAACCCAAACCCTAACTCACCTACTCCTTCCACCACCCCCACCCAACCCCTCTTTTCCCTTCCCCACCAACTCTTTGCCCCCTTGCCACATAAACCATCTTGAGTGATTGCGGTCCTAATCTCTTGCCTACTGCCACTTGCTTTGGTTCCATTGCGCTCATCATCACTTGGACATTTGGCCTCATGGCTTCTTCCCCCCCACCCTCGTCTCCCCCACTTCTACTTCTGGGGTTTCCTTTATCCTCACCTCTTTCGTTTTCTTCAAAATAGGACCCCTCTCACTCTCCTCTGCAGCCGCCCTCTTTTTCTTCTTCTTCTTCTTCAACACCGCATCCATCTCCTGTTTGCCCCTCTCTTTCAGCGAATCCACTGGAGGCGGCAATGGTGCAAAATCAGTTAGATCTTTATCTCCTAAAGGCTTGGAACGTGATCGGACTCACTCCCTTATGACCAGTTTAGGCGCAGGGCCTAACTGCGATTCCTTATACTTGTCAACCCTGGCTAATGTCTTCCGCTCTTCTGCCTCTTATACCTTTCTCCTCACCTCCAACTCCTTCAATGCAGGATCTTCCTCGGTCGGCTGCGGCCCCAGACTCAAGGCGAACAAGGTCGAAGGCCGGATCAAGTTATCCTACTTCACTCCCTCCTTCTCCCTCCACTCTTTCACCCGTTTC